GCTCTAGTAATGGGATAAATCTAATAGTTAATGGGATGAATCTATAGTTATGGATAATCTATAGTTAATGGGATTATCTATACGTTCAATGGGATACTAGAGTTAATGGGAGCTCTATGGGTTAATGGGATGATCATAGGGATGGGATTATCTATAGTTATGGGATTATCTATAGGTTAATGGGATAGTCTTATAGTTAATTGGAATGATCTATATTAATGGGGTTTCTATAGTTAATGTGATTAATCTCTATTTAATGGGATTATCTACTTCAATGGGATAAATCTATAGTTTTATGGGATAAAGCTACAGTAATGGGATAATCTATAGTTACTGGGATAATCTTTTAGTTAATGGGATAAATCTTAGGTGAATGGGATAAATCTATAGTTTAATGGGATGATCTTTAGTTAATGGGATAAATCTATAGTTATGGTTGATCTATAGTTAATGGGATTACGTATCGTTAATGGGATACACCTATGTTACTGGGATTATCTCAGGTTAAGGGATCACATCTATAGCTAATGGATAAATCCTATATTAATGGGATAAATCCTATTTAATGGGATAATCTCTATCTAATATCTTTCACTTTGATTATCTATAGTTAATGGGATTATCTAGAGTTAATGGAATTATCTAGAGTTAATGGGATTATCTATAGTTCATGTGATTATCTATAGTTAATGGGATAAAACTATAGTTAATGGGATGATCTATAGTTAATGGATAAATCTATAGTTAACGGGATTATCTGTAGTTAATGGGATTGTCTATAGTTAATGGGATGAATCTATAGTTAATGGGATTATCTATAGTTAATGGGATTGTCTATAGTCAATGGGATTGTCTATAGTTAATGGGATAAATCTATAGTTAATGGGATGAATCTATAGTTAATGGGATAAATCTACAGTTGATGGGATTATCTATAGTTCATGGGATTATCTAGAGTTAATGGGATTATTTATAGTTTCTAGGTGATAAATCTATAGTTAATGGGAAAAATCCATAGTTAATGGGATTATCTATAGTTAACGGGATTATCTGTAGTTAACGGGATTATCTCTAGTTAATGGGATTACCTATGGTTAATGGGATTATAACCAATTTATACAAGGCGATGCCCCTAAGATTGCGTTCAGTTGGTGCAAATAAGTCCAATTTCACTATGGTTTTTGTTGGTGATATATCGAACTAGCTCATGGAATTTTAAGCAATTTAGAACTGGGGGGGGGCTTTATATTGTAGGGTTTATGATTTCGTTTCAAGTCATGGTGTATGGTTTTCGGTCATCCATCTCATAATGGGAATCCCTATGATGGTATTTAACTTCCAATAAATCGACTGATGACCATTCCCCAGTATGGGAATTCTGGCGGCATCTAAGTAGGAAGCGGGTTATAAATCACAGATTCTAAGGGGATAACTACAATCCGAGGACATAGATATAGGAGAACCCACCAGGAATGTCACGATCATTTTCCTAGGTTTATGGAGAAGCCACCATGGATTTCTCCATCATTTGGAGGGGAAACACCATGGCGTCATTCCATATTTTGTTTTTGTATGTTTACCCCAGGGTATCATGTTTCTCAGCTTCGGAAAAATGGCCCAAGCCATGACCATCTTCAGCAACGAGACTCAGGGATGAAGCCAAGCACAACATACTACAATGGAAATAGAATACAAGATGCCACCAAACATATGCTGGTTGGTGGTTTGAACCCCTCTGAAAAATATGACTTCGTCAGTTGGGATGATGACATTCCCAACTGAATGGAAACATAAAAAATCTTCCAAACCATCAACCAGTATAATGTTTATTGATGATTTCTATTGTTGTGACTGTTGATCAAAGTATATTCGTTTACGTAACGAGATCCACATCTCGTTGTGTTCCCACCATCCCTCCTCGCTGCGTTGCGTTGCTGGGCACGGTCAGATTGTGATGCGTCATGGACCCACACCTGGAAGCAGAACGCCAGCGGTGCAGTGGAAACGAATTCTCAACTGAGCCATTCATAACTGTAGGCTTTATAAACCCCATGAATAGTCCCTATGGATCCTTATTTATCTAATATCCCATTCATATCCCATCAACATCCCCATCTGCTTGGTGGTATACCTACCCCTCTGAAAAATATGAAAGTCAATTGGGATTATGACATTCCCAATATATGGAAAAATAATTTTCATGTTCCAAACCACCAACCAGGATTATATTGTGGATTGCAAGGTATAATCCCGAAAAAAACAAGGTTCTTCGGCCTATTTTTGGTTGCCAGCGAAAGCGCCGAATCTCATCTGGACAGTTCTTATCCGAATTCCCCCTACTCTGAGGTCGCTTGAATCCATATTCTGAAACATATCCTACAAGGTGCTGGTGCCCCCACAGCTATGTTTCTTGGTTTATTACCCGAATAGTTTATAGATATATCTACCATAAACCCTAGTGGAATAGTAGTTACATAGCCACTCAGCTATCCTTTTGGGGCACCAGCTTGTGGTGTTTATTCTTCAACACCGTGGCCACTGAACACTGCTATCCTGCCAGTATTCTGGAAACATGCATCATCATCATCAACATCATCATCATCATCATGAATCATCATACTTGTCATTTGAAGTCTTCAATGGATGTCCATCATATTTGCATTGTCTCTTTTAGTAAATACAATTTTGTTGGGGAGCATTGCGCCTGCTTTGCTAAGCACTGGCCTTATAGTAATAGCATTGATCAAACGGCTATGGGTCAAGCCCTTAACACTAATAACTATAGTACTACCCAAATAGTTGGGTTCTATACGCGCAAAAACTGCTAGATGGGTTTGTCTGAAAATAGTGGATATCCGAAAAACATGGTAATTGAAGAAGGGAAAATTATGATAAACCAATGGGAATCGGGGGTATCCAAATTGATGCTGTTTCCACCATGGTTTCCGCTGAAGATATTCCCCCAAGACAATAGGTTAAATTTCCGGTGTCCAGTCAAGTGGGTGTTTCCCACCATTTCGCTGCCCCAAAACCAGTGCTTCCCCTTGTTTTAAACAAAAACTTAAGAAGGTTTAGGAACCAATGACTTGCAAAAGCAATGGTAAAACTTAAGATGGCTTAAGGCTTTTTTTATCATGTTTTCCATCATAAACCCAATGACTGATTATTCGGATCATAACTTTGGGTTCCCCATGGCTTAACCCACAGAATCTGGAAGGGCCCGAGGCCCGTCGAGCAGCAAGTTGAAGATGCCCCACAAAGTCCGGTAAATGCTGTGACCTCAATCGGTTTTTAGGGAAATCATAGAGAAATCATAGGGAAACCACGGGTACTTAGATGGGCCATGGAGTTGGTTAACTAGTTAGAAAGTGGACTATGATTGGGATATAGGGGCTTATATCCCCAGTTGCTAATCCCATAGCCCATCTAAGTAGATGGAAAATTGGCCTGAGCAAGCACGCATTGCAGATGTTTGTTGAACATTTATACCGCGAAAAGTGTATTTTCTCATGGGAACACGTGATTGATCTCCAAGCAAAGGACTGGAGCTTTGATCAAGCATGATTAAGACATGGACTTCGAACAAATCTGGCATGTTCTGAATGGAAAGACTAGCATCCATGGTTCGGTTTTTACATGTTTTTAAATACATAGATCCGATTTGGATTCATATCAAAGGTAGAACACATATTTCCAACGTGGCTTGCTATTCCAGGGGCATTTCGGGCATCTCATGGAATCAGCGCCGTGACAGAAGCGGAAACAAATCCCAGTCTTGCAGGGAACTTCCCCCTTCCGGCGGGGCTGAAAGCACAAAGGCATCGCCCATGAAGATCTTAGTCATGAAGAGTTATTGGATCAAAATTAAACCAATCATATTGGCTGCCTTTTGGTGAACATGTAAAAACACCCAAGTAAAATTAGTGTATCACCCCCATCAACCCCCATCAGGGACTCTTTTAGCCCAATCATGTGCCTTCTATGTTGATGGTGGCTTTGGGAACAGGGTTTTTGAGACTAGAAGCAATATGAAAATAGGATGGAGTAGGGATGGGTAGGTGTGTAAAGCTTTGTGCAAAGTTCGCTGGGTCTGAACATTAGTCTCATCTTGACATGCCTGGAACCCCAAGAGCGCCTGTTTCTTGGAGAGTTTGACCCATGTTCGTTCACCATCAAAAGTAGGAGTCATTCATTTGGGTGCTGGGTACATGTACCCCCCAGTAAACTAACATCATAACTATGCAAAGTCACCAGTTTCTTGTTTTGATAGGTAAATCAACTATCAACATAACTATGGAAAATCACCAGTATTAGAAAGTTTTATTTTTTTTAGTTGATCAATGGGCATTTTCACTAGCTATGTTCGTTTACCTGAGCGTAGCACCTATGAATAACTGATTCGCCCTGTGATCTGAGTCTCCGACACTGCAACGCCTCAGTCCAAGAGGGACTTGGGAAGTAACCCTATTAAAATCCAGTGACGTAAGGAATTCAACTGTATATGTACATCGTATTTGTTGCCGTATGTTGCCATCATGTAGGATAGACATCAATATTATTCCTATGGTGATTTCAAGCTGTCTGTTGATATGTTCCCGAAGGTCAATCAATCACTGATGGCGAAAAAAAAACTGCGAATAAGAATGGCTGGCCAGGTTCATATCTCCTCCATTTATAGCTTAAGAAATTAGTTAGTAAGTTAGTATCCAAAATTGAAGATATTCACCCAGAATCTCAATTTCACCAACGGAAAGTCATCCACCTACGTATGCATATGACACATGTGTTCCCAGAATTTGCTGAAGGAACCCCCCAAGAAAAACCCTCAATCGACTTCCCAGTCATAGTGATTTCCCGCTGGGACAATAAAACAATCTCACCGACTCAGCCAGTCCAAGGATGTTAAGTTACAGGGTTGCTCCCACCCCAGGTACAAGGTAAATCTAGAGGTATATAGAGAAATAATGAGTTGGAATTTGTCCCTCGCCATTTCCATCATTTCATGTACAAGATTGATCCGTTGCACCCTCCGTGTGTTGGGCCCGGACTTTGCCCTTGCAGGGTGCGTTCAGGGTGTTGCCGATCTGCACATCGATGAGCCTTGAGCACAAGGGGCATGCGTGGCTTTTTTGATCTTAGTAGCACTGATGGTGACTCAAGATGACTTAAGCCCAAACAAGTTGTGATTTATAGTGATTTACCGTAGTCAAACGTAGCAACTTACAATCCTACGGTGGGGTATAGGCTAGATTCTCTGGTAAGCGTTTACATAACTATGGAAAATCACAATTTTTAATGGGAAAATCAGCTATGAATGGCCATTTTCAATAGCTATGTTAGTTTACCAGAGGGTAGATTTAATGAGGTTTGAATTGTAAAATTGGTGGGAGCATAGTTGTGGCGAGAACCCACTAATAATCGTCGGCACTCCTCCGATCTCAGCAAGTGAGTCTTGAGCTTGGCCGCAGTGTGATACTCTTTCATGCAACCAAGGCATTGAGTTCCTTGGAAGAGCCGGCGCACCGGGTGTACCCATCCATAGACACGGTTCATGTGTGCTCCTTCTCCATTGGTTTTGCACCCTCGGTGAAACCCTGGAGTTTCGAAGTGAGGAGGTTCCTGCTGGTCCGCTGTCTAGCATGCATCCCCTGCAAATCAATCTCTCCCGGATGCCCGAGGTCAAGCCATTCAACCTGCTCCCGTGGGTCACGAAGATGGGTGGCTCCCTGCAGTACCAAAGCCATCGTAAGGTCATCTTCAAGGAGAGCAATCCAGCTAGAATCAGCGTTGAGGAGTTCCCAGTCAACCAAGGAATGGCACCAAACAGGGTACCAATATAGCATAGCCTTTGCACGCCCAGGAGGATTTTCCATTGCCATGTTTGATTACAGGAGGGTTACCCTAGGGTAAACATGCAAAAACAAATATGGAAAACCTACGGGAAACCTGTTCGGAAAACGATCTGAAAGATGGGGGCTTTCCACATCTATGTAAACAACGTTTGCAGGAGGATAAGCAGCACTGATGGTGGTTTAAGAAGTAAAACTTGAAATTTAAGCAGCAATAATGGATAGTAATGGTATAACTTATATATATATATATTATACTGAAATACTTATATAACCAACAAACATGGTGAGACATCTGTATGTGTCAAACATAAAAGCCCATGTCACCTAATCTCTGGGGATCTTTAATATGACACCATTCCACAACAGCAGGTTCAGTGCAGTTCTATAGAAACCTGCTCAACTTCTGCATACAACTCAAAAACATGCTCGGACGACATACTTACTACACTATTTCATCATTGGATCCATGTTGAATCCTTGTCAACTCATGTCAAATCATAGTCTTATATCATATGTAAATCGTCTTGACTCATCTGTACCATTTGTACGATTCGCTATGTTATACAACATGGAAAATCATCTTATATCATCTTATATCTCATGTTAAAAAAGGTATATCATAATTATTGGAAGTTTCCATGGGAAATTCCCAAGTCACTGCGGCTTTTCCCAAGGATTTTCGCCATCCCCAGTGCCCAGTGACGAGACCACGTCGTTGTTGGGGCGGATGGTCATCGTGGCCAACTCATTGTCCATCTCATCAATGCCTGGAGCGGCCGCCGCATCAAGTGATGTTTTGATCAGATGGGGAACATGTTTTGGCCATGGATAATAACTATAATGATAACCATTGTTATTGATAAAATGATAACCAATTGACAACAGTAAACTAATAATGATAAATAATGATGATAATGATAGTAACAGTATTAATGATAATCATGACCCTAGATAACAATAATGATAATAATAGCAATAGTAATAATAATCATTTTGGATAACATATTTAAAAACCATAGTGACAACATGAGTTTTTATATTGAGTGGTGAGCTATTATGATAATTATTTATCATGATAATTATTTAAGAACCCGGTGATTCATTTAATATCCATGGATAAGATGCTTATCATCACCATGGTTATTAATGATAAAATGATAGTGATAACAACAATAAGGAGAACCATAGTGATAGCAATGGAGACTTATCTAGATATCTGGATATTATGGTTGGATAAATCCAGATAGCATTAGATTAAGTTATGGCCTAATGAGTTTTGATAATGGGAAATAAAATATAACATAACATAACAATAACATTTGGGATAACCAAGGGATACTAACGGGTTTACAAATCTGATATCATTTTGAAATTAAATGGGATAATCATGGGATGAGAATGGGTTTGGAATGCCGGGATATGATAATACGTGGTAAACAATAACACCATAATATGGGATAACCATTATGTATCCCATTACTTCATGATATACACGCGATCATTTTTTTATACCCCCTCACCCATCGAAAGTTGATGTCCGGGTTGAATACCGGGGCTATGACTGGGAACTATTCCATCCCAAATTGGAGGTGTCTGTAACATCTGGAATTGGGTAAAGCCCATATTGTACTATTATACCCCCAAAAGTGGGATGTAATTAATGGTATGTTCTTGTAAAGTTGGTTATAACTGCGAGCTAAACCCTCTGACAGTTTGAACTGTTGAGCCCTTGCAACCCTGTTGAGTCCTGTAACTGCTAGACCCTCCAACAGTTTAAAGTCCCATGAGTATTGTAGCTAGTTGAGTCAGTTGAGTCTTCCATGTGATTTTCCGAGAGAGAGAGAGATATATATATATATATCTGCATCGGTCCCTAAACTCCTTGACTCAGCCAGTGGCGCCTGAAAGCGATTGTTTATGGAAGAGCACCCGCGCTGCATGCTTTACACCTGCACCAAAAACCATCCAAGAACCATCCAACACCATGGCTGGATGTTTCCCAAGCTAATATCATGGAGAAATATTACGTAATGGGGAAACTATCAATACACATGGACAAACACTCAAGCCAGAATCATCGTCAAATTTTCAAGACACAAATCGACCTGGCACCGCAAGGACTATGATGGCCTTTTCTATTTCGCCAGGTGCCAAAGGTGCAACTACTCAGTGATTGCAAAGCCATTACCTAATGGTTCAAAACAAAACGCTATCCCTTCACCGGTGGTACTCTTCAGTAATCAAACATGGCTGGGAACTCCTGGGAAATCCTTGAAAAAAGGAGGTTTGAGTGGGAAAACATCGATAAAAGGATATTTTCCATTGCCATCTTTAACTGCCGGCGTTCAAAATCGGTTTAGCATGGCTTAGCTCTTGCTGCTGTGCAGCATTTTCTTATTTGCTGGCTTCAACAAACACATAAATACCGTCACATCAAGTATTCGCCACTTGAAGCAATTGCCCAACATCTCCCTTGATAAGATCATATCATATCATATCATATCTAAACTATCGCAGATAGGTCAAATTAATCAAGGTGTGTTAATGACCAACCCTTGGGAGATTATCAGAGATATCTTGATTCATCGTTGATTCTTCTCAGGTGTTGTTTAGACCTCCCGCTCTTTAAAGGTTCAACAACAGGCATCTTTTTGAGTCTTTTTCAACCCCCATAGGTCGTAAAATCGCATTCCAAAATCATCTTGTCTCGCTCGACGGTTTCACCCCCTGAATATGTGAAGACGAGTGGGGACCATCATATCATATCACTTTGCCGGGATCAACATACATAATCATATTTTTTTGGCCAACAAAATCATCAATCATAAATCATCTAATATTTCAATTCAAAGCTTCATCTAATCCTTTCACATCTTGTTTGGATTTTTTTGGACATGTCAATATACACACTAATTTGTTCCATTTGATGGCAGCTGACACCCAGATAATTATAAAGCAAAGTATCATCAACCACAAACCATAATCATAAAGCAAGTCTGGTGTGATAAGTATATACAATAGTATATATATATAATAGTATATATATAATCGTATATATATATATATATAAAAAATAGTATCTATATATAATAGTATATATTTATAAGTAAATATAAAATAGTATATATAAAAAATGAAATAGTAGATTATATAACAGTAAATATAATTATATATCATAGTAAATATATATCATAGTACATATGTATATATATATATATATATATATACATATCACAGTATATATACATATATATATATTCTTATATTACTATTTTTATTGTTTTGATATAATGTGAAAATTCTGAATCCCTCGCCAGTTCTTTGGTTCAGACACCATGGAGCTCGCTCCGTTTCTGATCTCCTCACCTGGCGCAGCGAAGGCGACCGTCAAAGGTTTGATGTTCCTGGCGCTTCCGCGGAGGTTCCAACGGGCGGCTTTCAATCGCATGAAACAGCAGTTAAATGGTATTGAATAAATAGTTGGGTTATAAAATGTTGTAAATGGTATTGAATGGTTGTAAATGTTGGGGATAAGTGACCTTTTTTGGGGGTTTTGTTACTGACTTCGTATTTCCATGTATTTCGGGCAGTGTTTGGTGCTCCAAACACATCCCAGAAATAATACTGTAATCATCTTGTAAGCCCATGGTGTTATATATAAGTTCAGGTCACCCATGTTTCATTCTTCTGGATCCACTGGATCCCTTTAAAAAAATCTCCCACACCGAAAAATCGATATGTAAGATTTGTCCAAACCCGAATCCAGGTTTAACCCACAGATAAATTCCCTCACCAAAAAATCTAGCGTCGAAGTCTTTGACCCTCAGTTAAGGCAGAAAAACTTAGGCCTTTAAAGGTTATTCTACTAAACCCATGAGGTAGAATAACATGATATATAACATGTCTTATTCATGTTACTATTATTGATGCTATCAATTCAGGCCAAGGAATCTGAGGATATGGGTCAACATGAGAAAAATATGCGGTTCTTGATCCCAGGCTCACAGATTTGGCAGAAATCATAGCCTAGAATGTTGACCCATACGTGGATATTTCACGCTAACCAGAGCTTCAGATATATATATATATATTTATATATATATACTTCATCCACTTGTGAAAATAAATGTGGGATAAAATAATGTGAAAATATATACTTCATCCAACATTTCGCCTACATTGCTCCAGGGATTTCGCGAGCCGACGAGCCCTGAGGCGCTGGCATTTGCAGTTGAAGTTCCTTGGTGCCCCCATGCGGGCCATGAAGATGACGGCCATGATCAATAGATTACTAGATTTCTAGATTGATAACGTGGCCAGATAGATTCTGATTACTAGACTACTAGATTAGTAGAATGTGGCCATGATGAGTATACTACATACAAGGAGGTATAAAACGAGATTGACTGTTGGGCTTATGCTGATAAAACAAGTATAGGTAGATGGGCAATAAATGAACTAAGGTGAAGCTACAATGTGGTGCCTCCCAGTCAAAAGTCGGTTTGGAACCCCCTTATCGCGCACGGTCTCAAAGCACCGGGCCGGCTGCAGCGCAGGCCCGGGTGTCCAACAGGTCACACCTACCTAACACCCGATCTTGTCATCAGGGTTCCACACAGTAAAATTCAAGTCAGAGAGGGCAGCCGGAGTTC